GTCGCTCTTGTGTGCCTCGGCGTGCGGCGGCGGCGGCGCAGCGGCGGCATCCACAGCGGGCGAGGCGTCGGCGGGGGTGGCGCTGCCCCTCGCCGCCGCTGGCGTCGCGGCTGCTGCCAGCCGGCGGCTGCTGGGCCGTGGCCTTGGCAGCCCCGGCGGCAGCAGGCGGCACCCTGGCAGCCGCGGCAGGCTCCCGCCGCGCCGCCGCCTTTGCGGCGGCCGCCGCCGCCGCTGCGGCTGCCGCGGCTGCCGCAGCCGTGGCCGCCGCCAGGCTGGGCGGTGTGCTGTCCAGGGATGAGTGGTGGGAGGGGCCGGGAGTGCTGGCTGCGCTGGTGCTGGCGGTGGTGGTGGGCGCGCCAAAGCCAGGGGGAGGCAACACAATCTGCGCAGCGCGGCAGCAGGCGGTTGCGGCGGGGCGTCAGGCATACAGGCCACGAGGCGAGGAAGGAATACTGCAGCGGCTGGCGACAGAGGCGGGGTGGGTGGGTCGCCGGGCAGGAGGGCGGGCAGCGGGAGGCGCAGGGCGCCTCCTCACCTTCTTGGGCTTGGCAGGCGCCGCGCTCGCGGCGGGCGCCGCAGCCGCCGCCGGGCCGGAGCTGCTTGCGACGCTTGCGGCGCCAGCCGGTGGCGCCGCGGGCGCACCAAAGCCCGGCGGAGGGCGCAGCCGTGGCGCGGGCTTGGGCGCCGCCTCCGCCACCGCCGCCGCCGCCGCCTTTTGCTGCGGCTGCTCCCGCAGCGGGACAACCCGCGGCGCCGCGTCCCTGCCGCCGGCCGGCGCCGCCGCCGCGGCTGCGCGGCCGCCGGCGCCAGCGTGCTGTTTGGCAGTGCCGTTTGGCACCGGGTGCGAAGCGGCGGCAGCCGCCGCAGCAGCAGCGGCGGCAGCCGCCGCAGCAGCCGCTGCTGCCGAGCTGCTGCTGCCCGCACCGCTGCTGCCGGCGGGCGCCTCTGCCAGCGACGCAGAGGGCGAGCGCAGCGCGCCGCTGGGCGCCCTTCCCAGCGGCTTCAGCTTTGCCGGCGAGCTGAGCGGCAGCAGCTTCTTGGTCCGCTCCTTGGGCTGCGGCTGGCTCTGCGCCCGCAGCAGCTGCTCGGCCATGGTGCCCACCCCGCTGCTGCCGTTCTGGCCCAGGGGGCGCGCCAGGCCGCTGCCGGGGCGCGCGCCGCTGCCCGGCCCCTCGCCGCTGTCCTCCTGCTGAGGGGAGGTGGTGCCGCTGGCGCCGCCGCCTGGAGCGCCGCCGCCCAGCTCCGGCCACTCCTGGGCGTCAGACGGCGGCGGAACCGCTGCCGCGGCGGCGCCGGGGGCCGGCGGCGGCGGCGGCGGCGGAGCCGCTGGTGCCTGCGTCGGCGCCGCCGGTGGTGGCGCCGCGGCGGCTGCTGAGGAGATGGAAGCCCAGGAGGGCTGCAGGGACGGGGCAGGCCGCAGGGACGGCGCGGCAGCTGCCATGGATGAGGGGAGCGCCGGGGAGGAGGGCGCCGCGGCGGCAGCCAGCGAGCCGCCGGCGGGGCTGCCCCATGCTCCCGCGCCGCCGCTGCCGCCGCTGCCGCCGCCGTCGTGCAGCGCCTGCTGCTGCTGCTGCTGCTGCTGCTGCTGCTGCTGCTGCTGCTGCTGCGCGCCGCCGCCGCGCGCCCCGTGCAGCGCCTGGCGCGGCACCGTCAGCACATGCACCGGCTGCGAGGCGGAGCTGGGGCGGCTGACGCCGCCCGCGGCCGCCGCCGCCGCCGCCACCGCCGCCGCCGGCTTGCCCTCCGCCACCGCCTGCGCCGCGGCCGCCTGCGGCAGCAGCAGAGGCGCCAGCTCAGCTCGCCAGCGCGCACAGCACACAGGCCAGGCCATGCTGTTGCCACCTGCCGGGCGCCGCCGCCCGGGGCAGCACCACGCGCCGCCAGCGCGCCACCATTGCCCTGCCGGCCCCCCCAGGCCGCCCCCCGGCCTTGCCTGCGCCGCGGCGGTGGCTGGGTTGGGGATGGCGTGTATGGTGAGGCGCGGCTTGAAGGTGGCGGCCGCGCCGACGGCCATGAAGCGCGCGGGCAGCAGCCCCGCCGCCACCTCCTCCTTAGTCAGGCAGTCGGCCTCGTCGGCTGCGGCAGTGGCGGGCCGGGAAGGGGGCGGGCGTGACGGGAGGCAGCAGGCGGCAAGCAGGGGCTGCGGCTGAGGAGTGGTGGTGGTGGGGGGGGCAGGCGTGAGGAAGCAAGAGGTAGGGGGCTGCCGCTGCTGCACGGCTGGGGGGGGGTGCCGGTGCCGCGCGGGCGGCCCCCGCGCTCGCCCCGCCTCCGCCCCTGCCTCCCACCAGGCCCGGCGCGCCCCTGCCCCTGCCCTGCATGCGCCCTCCCCCACCTAAGTCGTGCAGGTAGAGGCAGTCTGGGTTGTTGCAGGGGAGGCCCTTGAGGAAAGCGTTGCAGTACTTGGTGGTGCCAAAGCACGCCTTCACAGCCTTGCCCTTCCACACCGCGCCGTCGAGCGCCTTGATGCACCGCAGCGCGTCTGCAGGCGGGGGCAGGGGGGCAGGGGGCGGCGCCGTCGTGGGCGAGGGGTCGGGCGCGGCGGGCACGGCATGCGCAGCAGGCACGGCGGCGCCCGCACGCCGCGGCCGCCCAGGCGGGCGCGCCCACCCTCTGGCCGCTTGTAAGTGACGTAGGCGGAGCCGGTGGGGGCGTGGCGGCCGCCGCCCGCGCCGCCCTGCACGCCGCGGGTTGACCGATATCTTGACGGTTCGCCCAAACTGTCCAAAGTACTGGGCATCGCGCAGCGCCTCCTCGTGGCAGATCTCCAGGCTGAGGCCCACAGCGTACACCAGGGTGGGCTGCACCACGCGCATGTTCTGCGGGAGGGCGGGCGGGAGGGAGGGAGGGAGGGAGGGAGGAGCGAGGCGGGGATTTGGGGGCGGGGGTGGGCGCAGGCGAGGCGAGGCGGGCGGCACGCCAGGCCTGGGCCACGCAGCGCCGGAGGCAAACCCGGAGCTGGGAGGCAGGCCGGGGGGGCGCGGCAGCGCTTGCAGCCCGCACGGCCTGTGGCCGGCTGCTGCGGCTGCGGCGGGCTGCCTGCTCCAGCCGCAGCCGGCGGCCGCCTGACTGCTGCCGCCTCACCGTCAGGTTGGCCCTGTTGATGCGCGTGCCGCTGCCGCTCTTGCCCGGCTTGTCCTTCTCCTTGAGCTTGCGCTTCTCCTCCTCCAGCCTGCAGCAGCAGTCGAGGAGGGTGAGAGCAGTGGCTTGGCCGCCCAGCCACCACAGGAGACGCGCTGCCTCTTGGCCCACTGCACCAGCCGCGACGGCCAGCCAGACTGCGCCTCCGCCATTGCTCGCAGCAGCATCGCTGCCCCCACCCCCGGCTCTGCAGGCCCCCGGTCCGCTGCGGCACGGCCAGGGCAGACCGTGCCGGGCCGCCGCCGCCACGCCGCACGACGCCCGCGCCGCACTCACTGCTCCGCGTCAATGTGCTGCATCTGGATCTTCTCCTCGTCGTACTCGCTGCGGCAGTTGGGGCAGCGTGCCGCCAGGCTGGCCTTGGCCGCCTCCTCCAGTATGTGGTGGTAGCACCACAGGCACATCTGGTCTGCAGGCGGGCGAGGCAAAGGCAGGTGGGGCGGGGTGGCGCGGCGGCAGGCAGGTGGACGTGTCGGTGACGGAGGTGGCTAGCAGGCAGGGCACGGCTGCAGGAGCGCAGCGTGCTGCATGGCCAGCATTTGGGCAGGACGCGCTGGCCCTGGGCAGCACAGCACAGCAGACGAGTCTGGCGCCGCTACGCTGCCGCCGGCGGCGCCGCCATCCGCCGCCGCCGTGGCTCACATCCGCATTCGCAGTACTGAATGGCCCGGTCGGTGACGTCCAGCTCCGTGCAGCATAGGGGACAGTCTACGGAGTCCTCCATTCTGTGGCCAGCTCGCCCTGGCTTCCTACAGACCCTGCACATGCAGCAGCGGGGAGCGGGGCGGGCCTGGGCAGCCCTCCACGCAGCTACCAGCCGCCCCTCGTGCAATTGGCGGCCGCAATGCGCCGCCCCGGGCCCGCCGCGGTCTCCGCCGCGATCGTTCCCCGCCAGCCCGCGCACCTGCGACCCCAACTGGCCAATTTTGTAACCTAACTACATACATGGACACCAGGAGGGGTCTACAGGGCGAAAAACCCGGTGCAAAAGCCAACCTGCTGTGCATGCTGGAGATGGATGAGGCGGCTGTTTCAGGCTTGAATGGCGCCATCGGCCCCCGCCGCACTGCCAACATCACTCCTGACATCCCGTAGCTTGCTCCAAAGCCCTAAGATGGCGGCCGTTGCTTGCACCGCTGCTCGCCCCGTGGTGGCCACCCGCGCCATGGCTGGCACCAGGCAGCAGGCTGGCATCGTCAGGTGAGCTGACTGGACCGCCAGGGCGGCCCAAAGCGGGCCTGGGTGGGCCCACCGCCTGCAGCAGCCCCATGCTACCACACCACCTGCCCCTTGCCCTGGCGCCCCCTGGCGGCCCCCGACCTGGCGCATTCCCTCTGACATGCCGCAGCAAGCCCGCCGCGAGCCGCCAGTTCCTGCCCGTCCGCCCCAGCCCGAAGGCCCAGCGCCGCGCGGCTGTGCAGCCCCAGGCCTCCATGGAGGTGGCGCAGCTGGCTGGCGAGGCCGGCTTCATCTTCGGCGTGTCTGGCGTGATGGTCGGCATCACCCTGATCGTGAGTGGCGGCACTGGGATGGGAGTGCGGCGGCCGCCATCTATGATCCCCTGCTTCGTGTTGGGTGTGCATTGGCACACGGCTGCGGGTACTGGGCCAGCCTGCAGCTTGCCAGCGTTTGCCACGGCAGCGACCAACCAGCGGATGGCAACAGAGGCAGCCTTGGGCCGCTCGTTTACACCCCGAAGGCCGCTGGGCAGCACATCCAGGCAGCCAGGAGATGATGTGGAGCTGATCTCTATGCCCCGCGTGTGTTGCAGGGCCTGGCGTTCGGCTTTGTGCTGCTGCGTGTGGAGTCGCTTGCTGAGGAGGGCAAGGTGCGAGTGCCCGCGTTGGCGAGTTTGGGCCGCGGGTGCACTCTGGGCAGCAGCTGTTTTGCATCCCGCTGCCAGCAGCATGGCAAGTGCCGCAGCGGCATGCACGCAATGTACCGCCCGCAATGTACCGCTGCCCTGCTAACCCAGCCGTCGACCGCCCACTTCCTCGCAGATCTAAGCGGCTGTCTCCCCTCCCCTACATCCAATTTTTTAGTTCAGCTCCAATGAACCATCAATTACTTGGTTGGTGAGGCAAAGAGAAGTCAACTTACAGCCTGCGCAGACGCGTGTAACTATCAGCACTGACAGAGTGGGCCAGGGCAACAGGCGGCAGTGCTGGCGCTGGCCGGGGGTGTGAGGTCGGGGAGGCAGAGCAGCAGAGGCAGCTGGAGGCAGCAGAGCCTGTTTGCCGGCAGAGCCAACAGGTCAGAAACGCAACCAATGTGGAGGCTCTAGAGGCCCGCACTGAGGAAGCTGGCCACGATGCCCGCCAGCCGCTCTCTGACAGCCCGCAGGTCTGCCTCTGTGGGGCGCTCTGGCAGCTGCGGAATGGCTGATGCGGGGATGCCTAGGGCCCGGGCATCCACTGCCATCTGCGGGGCAGCGCAGCAAAGGGGTTCAGCCGGGCAGCCCGCATTCTTGTGCCGGCACACGATGGCAGGGCTGGTCTCTCCAATCCGCTTGCCTGCTGGTAGGCGAACTGCCACCGCTCTAGCATAGCATCTCGGGCCGCTTCTGCCTCAATCTCCAAAAATGGGGGCGTGTAGCTGGCTGCCAGCTGCACCACCGGGTCCGGTGCGCCTGCGGCTGCGCCCTCTGGGCCAGGCGCGCCCTGCCCGCCAGCGGGCGCGCCCAGCTCGACCAGATCCTTTGGCAGCCTAAAAGCTGCCTCCAGGCCTTTGGACAGCGAATTCCTGTCGCCTGTGGCGGCTGCAGGCCTCTTGCTGCGGAGCCTTTGTGGCTGGGGAGCCCAAAACGGAGAGGCGTGGGTGCTTACGAGGTGCGAGGGCCTCAACATGGATCTGAAGACAGGTGCAAAGGGCGACCTTTGCTGGTATGTGTGCAGGTTCGCCCGCTATGTACTGCCGAAGGTACTGCCGAAAGCGTTCAGAACACCTGAAACCCGCGTGGTGCGCAGCTGCTGCGCATTTACATCATTCACGGGCTCATGCACGGGCCATATGTGCTCCTCCCTCAACCTCCCAAACCTGACCAGTAGCGGCGTTTTTAGGAGGTGAGGCTTGCCTCATTTAGCACCATAGAGCATCCTGGCTGGTGTCAGATTGCAGACGCATCACTTTTCTCCCGGGTAACGCATCCCCTCGGTGACTTGCAGACGTAGTGCTGGTGGGCTGCGGGCAGGCTGGCCACTTGCGGGCAGCTCACCGTTCACGCCTCACCAAGCCAAGGGCGCTGACGCGTGGCCAGGCACACGCAGCAGCGTGGGCGGCGGCGGCCTGAGCGTTGGCGGCGGCGGCGGCGCTGTGGCTCTCCACCCCCACCCCTCCGCCGCGATGGACCTCTCCCCACAGGACCGCGCCATGGTCCGCCTCTACATGGCGGGCTGCTTCCATGAATGGGACCAGCTGCCAGGTGGGGCGAGGCGTGGTGCGGCTGCGACCCAACATGGCAGCGGCGCACGCCTGGAGGTGCCCGCTCGCCTGCCTGCCCTGCTCGTGCGCCTCTGGCTCATACATGCCGCCACCGGCTCGCCCGCAGAGCTGGCAAGGGAGTATTACGCGCGGGGGGCCAGCGTGGCGCAGCTGCGCGGCTGCGTGCGGCACATGGTCGTGTTTGCCGGGTACGGGCCCTGCCTGGCCGCCACCCTGGCGCTGCACAAGGCCAGGCTGCTGCCCGAGGACACCCCCGCCAAGGTGCGACACGCAGCAGACGCAGCAGCGGCGGGGTGGGGTGGGGGTGGGGCCGCTGCCCGCCACCGCGCGCCGAACGCAGTCGACCTTAGGAGCGGCAACCTCCCCCTGCCATGCCGTGGGCCGTGGGTGGCTGCCATCCCCGCAGGTGAGCGGACCCCCCGGCAACGCCTTTGAGCTGGTGTACGGCAGCGTGACGGACCGCGTGCGCGCAAACATGCACGCCGCAGACGCAGCCCTGGGGGAGTGGATCAGGTGGGCGTGCGCCTCGCTGTGCCCGGCACGCAGCGCCGGCGCCCCAGTGTGAGCTCCCTGGCGGCGGCACGGGCCACCCCACACGGCGCTCGCCGCCGCGCCGCTCTCTCCCTCCCCCCTGTGCCCTGCAGGCTGCACCTGTATGGAGATGTGTACAGCTCCCCCGGCCTGGACATGCGGCAGAAGCAGCTGCTGACCTGCGCCTTCCTGTCTGAGGCAAACATGCCGGACCAGCTGTTTGGGCACGCGCTGGCGGGGCTCAGGTGGGGGCAGCCTGCACGGCTGGGGGGGCAGGGCTTGGCATGCGTGGCGCTGGGCGCTGCCCCCACCTTGCATGACCGCCTACCGATTGCCGTGAATACCAGCGGCAGCTGTGCTCACCGGTCTGCCCCGCCCCGCCGCCGCCTGCCCGCCAGGTTTGGCAACAGCCTGGCGGCGCTGCAGGAGGTGGCGCGGCTGGCGTGCGACATGGGGCCCCGCCCCGCCGCCAGCCGCGACGCAGTGCTCAAGGCTGCCCTTAAGACGCTTGACATGGTGGGCGCGCAGCACTCACACCATGGTGCTGCTGCCGTGGTGCTGAGGGCAGGACCATGCCGCGCCTGCTGTCCTCCTTGACCACTGCCGACCGCTGCCGACCTCCTGCCCTCCTGCCGCGCAGGCCAGCGCCAAGTATGGAAAGGACATGGTCGGCGAGGCGCCCGCCTGCCCCGAGGTGACCACCCCAGACCCGCACTTGAATGTGCGCATCCCGCCGCTGCCGCCGCCGGTCAACGCGGGCGCGCCACGGGCGCCCTCCGGCGACCAGGAGCAGCAGCAGGCGGCGGAGGGGGCAGGAGGGGATGGCGGCCAGGCGGGGGATGCCAGCGTGGGCGTGAGCCTGGGCGCGCAGGCGGCGCTGAAGCCGGCAGGCGGGGGCCAGGCGGCGGGCGGCTGGGGCACCAGCAACATCGGCCGGCCCAGCAACCTGGCAGGTGGGGCCGGGCATGCTAATGCCGGCCTGTTTGCGGCGGCAGGGGCGGCACCAGGTGGTGTGCGCTGGTGGTGGCATGAGCCCTGAACGAGCCATGCCCGCTGCCCTCCCCCCGCCCTGCCCCGCCCGCCTGCTGCTGCAGTGGACTCTATTGCTTCGCGCATGGAGCAGCAGCGGGCGCGCAGCGGGCTATTCTTTGCCTGGGACCCACCGGCACGTGAGGACTCCGACCCGCAGCAGCCGCCGCAGCAGCCGGGGGAGGAGGAGTGGGCGCTGGGTGGAGGCTGGGAGGCGGCGGCCCGCTGATGTGGCAAGCAGCGCGGGGCGGCTGGGGAGGCCCTTCCCCCTGCGGAGCCCTGCGCCTGCTGCCCACCCCACCCTTGCCAGTTGCGATTCCATTGTGTCCATCGCGTTTCCGGCCAACAGCAGCGCTGTAAACGCTGTAAACGCCAATGCACGCCTGCTCATGGATGCCTCATCGCGAGGCGACCCGCGTCACCCCGCCTCCTCGGCCTCCCAGACCTTGACCGTGCGGTCAAAGCTGCAGGTGAGTAACAGGTTGGCGGCGCCGTCCACCGCCAGCCCCCGCACGTTCCTGGCGTGGGCAGGCAGCAGCGCCACGCGCTTGGCGGAGCCGACGTGGAAGATGGCCAGCCCGCCGTGGGCCGCGGCTGCGGGGCCAGGGCACAACGCAACGCGGGGGGGGTGCGCATGGGGTGAGGTGGCGGTTGGCTGCGCCGCTGGTGGCTGCACTGCACTGCGCAGGCGGCCAAGCAGCGGGTGGCAGGCAGCAGTGCAGGGTCGGCGGGCGGCCAGGAACAGGAGAGCGGGCAGGC